ATCAAACCATTCTGACCATTGGCAGGTGACAGGCGCACATGTGGTCTTTGGTGGAGTGGTTGTAGTGAGAGTTGTTGTTGGTGAGGGTAACTGGGTAGTGGTGGGCAAAGAAGTCGTAGTTACTATGGGAGTAGTGGGAGAAATAACAGTTGTTATGGTGGGAGTTGTTTCTTTGATGGTACTGCTGGTGGTGGTTATCACTGTTGAGGTGGCAGTTGTTGGGATTGATGTTGTTTTAACAATCTGAGGTGCTGTAGATGGCAGCCTTGTTGTATGATGTTGTGTAATAATGGGTCTTTCTGTTGTCTTTGGAACTGGTTGTTTTGTAGTTGTTAGTATTGATGTAGGTATTTTTGTTGTTTTCAGTGATGTAGTGATAGGTGTTGTGGTGGTTACTCTCGTTGTTTCAAATGTTGTTGACTGTGTACCTTTTGTTGGAAGCAGTGTTGTAGTTAGGGGAGCTGCAGTGGAACTTGGTTGCATAGCAGTAGTTGCCGTTGAAAGTTTTGTAGTAGAAAATATAGAAAGACTGGTTATATATTTAGTAGTGGCAGGAGGTAATGTCATTGTAGGTGTCTCCGGAACTGATGTAGATGTCAGTTGTGGTGTTGTTATATTTGGACTTGTTTTTCCTGAAGTTGTAGTAAAGATTGTAGAGGTTGTCTGAGGTGTTGTGACTCTGGTTGAAGGTTCTGTAGGAGTGGTCAAACAGTAGTTGTTGCAGCAATAAACTTTAATTTGATAGTTGAGACATATCTGTAGCATTCCCAACTGATCTTCATTTCTGCAAACAAATCCAAAGGATACGTTGCACAGGACCTTTTGGCCAATTTCATCAATAGTTTTATTAGGGAATTTCTCAGCTCTGCATTCTATATGTTCTGGGTTTTCACAGAGATCTTTTCCTGTGGCTCTAATAATGTCATATGTTTCAAAATCTCCTTCATTATCCAGTGTAGGAATATGCACATCATACCATTCTGTCCATTTGCAGATAGGCGTGCAAGTTGTTTTTGTCATCATTTCTGTTGTTGAAGATCCAGTTTCCATTGTAGACAGGACTGTAGTGCTTGTAGATAAAAAAGTGCTTTTTGGGGTTGTTGTTAAGATGCTAGTGGTTTCTTTAATTGTACTTGTGAAAGCAGTGGTACTTGCTGTAGTTGGTACTGTAGTTGTTTGAACTGAAGTGGTAGTTGCAGGTATGGAGGTTGTAGTATAATTGCCACATGGTACAAAGGTACAGCATAGAATTTTGATTTGATAATTGTGGCACATTTCTGGATGCTGGTCCATATTATTACAAATTAATCCAAGTGTTCTGTTGCATTCTACCTTCTGGCCCAGTGTAGTTAATGGAGTATTGGGGAATTTCTCTGCTCTACATTCAACAGCTTTTGGACTTTTGCAGACTTGGTAGCCTTTGGCCCTTAGATTGTCAAAAGTTTCAAAATCTCCATCGTTGTTTCCTGAGCCAGGCTGCATCCCATCATACCACGGTGACCAATTACACACTTCCTGAACACAGACGGATGTAGTCATGGGCACTGCAAAGATATTAGAAGGATAAATGAATATGTTTCATCTACCTAGAACAACCTAGAACACCCTAGAACTATGCTGCCTACAATCTGACCTACGCTTAGTACACAAAATTGTCTGCTATAACATCCTAGCTGTCAACGACTACTTCAGCTTCAACCAATAGCTACAAACTCAAAGTAAACTGCTCCAAACTTGATTGCAGAAAATACGACTTCAGCAACAGAATGGTCAATGCCTGGAATGCATTACCCAACTCTATTGTTACATCCTCAAACTCTCACAGCTTCAACCTCAAACTGTCTACCGTGGACCTCACCCCATTCCTAAGAGGTTTGTAAAGGGTGTGTGTATAAGTGCACCAGGGTCCCTATGTTATACTCATACTTATACTTGTTTTCTCATACATTCTTGACAAACCAAAATAAATAAAATAAAAAACAATATTTTCTAATAATTGTGAGCATGCAAATGATACCCTGAAACAACTATGCCACAGAACAGTTTTTTGAGGTAAATGTGGTAATAGGGTCAGTGGTCACACATATAGTTTCCTCCTTCTTCCTCTTCCTAAAAGAATTCCTCTTTTAGACTCTCACCTAAGGAAACAATGATCTTCATCAAACTTTTTTTGATGGCAAACAATTACAGGAAGTTTAATTGGCTTCCTTCCCAGGACATTCTACTCAAGATCATTGATTTCCTGCTGCTAATGGCATGAGGAGCAATAATTATTAGCATGGTGTCTGAGAAGAAATAAGTGAGAGTGCGTTCCTTGGTTTTGTGATAACTTAATTGATATTTTTAATTGCACATTACCCTCAGCACCTGCTAAGCAGATGCACTTTTACATATTTATTACTTTGAGGAGAAGAATATGCACAGAGTGCAATTAAAACATTTATTTTAAAACATGAGTGGCATTGCATTGCTTCAGCAGCAGCAGAATAAGTCATCTCAACTTAGTTTTAGACAAAGTGGACATTCTTTTTTTATTACATTTAGGGATTCAGAAGTCCTATTAGTTAAAATGTTTCATATGGTACCATGGCAATAGGCCAAATGGTTTATTTTCCCATGATTTCCTTCTAGGTTGCTATAAATGTGAAAATGTGGGGTAGCAAATTGAATCCACAACTTAATCTTTTTTCTCCATACAACAACCTATTTTCAGTAGCAAAATTGGCAAGCTGTTTATAGCAGAGGTGGGTTTCAAATCCCAGCACTACCATTTTGCTTATGCTCGTGTGGGAGACATTTCTGCGCACACTAAAATGTATTATTTTTAAAAAAAATAATCATACAACTAACAATCATTTTTGTTTCATTTCATTTACTAAGGAAAAAGATAAGTCCTCAGAGTTGTTAGAATTTGTACCTGAAGTAGTACTTGCTGTGGAAGTGGTGTTAAATACAAAGACAGTAGAAGTAGGAATACTGGTAGGGGTTGTGGAACACGGAAAGATATTCCTCTCAATTGTGCCATTTTGACTGCAAATTGCAGTGATGCACCCTCCAATGCCATCAGTTGTATTGTAAATGATCTCTCCAGGTTTGCTTATCTTTCCTTCATAGATACAGTAGCATTCTGTCATTTTAAAAAAAAAGCAATTGATTATTGAATTTGTTTCAATTCTCACAATGGCTGATCCAAATAATCACAGCCCACATCAAATCGACACAGTCTGCTTACCATTTTCATCATATCTGCAGTCCTCTTCACTGTCCATTGAACAATAACTGTAAGGAAACAAATGAGCGCATTTGTTAGAAGGCTGCTCACCATTTTAAAAAGCACAACAGGTTAAAACAAATGTAGTTTATGCATAATCGGAATAGAATCATGCAGAAACTAATACTTTATTACAAGAAGATCCAATTCATTGTATGGAAATGTCCAGATAAAATTTCTGGAAAAAGAAAAAAAGCTTCCTGTCAAATTCAGAATTTATAAACATTTTCTATGGAGAATTCTTATTTTTCCCTTCAATAAAATTAAGGGAATAATAAAATTATTTATTTATAAATATTTCCCTTTAATAATTGTTTTCCCTCTAATAAAATTAAGCTTTATTAATTATTTTGTTTGAAAATGACTCTTCTCACAAGAATTGGGGGTAGAGAATGGGTTCAGAAGATCCTGTGGTCTAAGTGGAGCAAAACAATGGAGTGTCCCCCCCCAAAAAAAAGAATAAAGATCATTATCCATTGAAATGATTTGAGCAAACTCTTAGTCTACCCTGGGGTGAGATGACTACTGAGTAGAGTGTATTAACAGCAGAGGTGAGTTCTTCCCGGTTCAGACTGGTTTGGCTGAATAGGTAGTAATTTAGCTGTCCATATGCCCGAACTGGTTCTATCTTGTTTTTTCCCTCTGCACATGCACAGAAACAATTTTTTTAGTTCTGTGCATGCACGTGCACACAAAATGCGCACGCACCTGAAACGCATCCCTCAGCGAACCAGCAGTAAAAGAATCCGGAACCCACCCCTGATTAACAGTATGGCATTTTTCAAGAAATTGATCCTGAGACGTGTATTCCAGAATGTTGCCTGCTGATTCTTGCTCCGGTTTTATGAAACATAATGGTATTTGGCCTCTGCCAGATCTTTAACTTATTTGGAAGCTTCAATTGGTATAAAACACAATGGTATGAACATTTATGTGTACTGTCAAAAGAACACACACTGCACCTCTGTTCTGTGAGCTGTTGTGGTTGCCAGTTTGCTCCCAGGTCCAATGCAAGATGCTGGTTTTAACCTTTAAAGCCCTTCATGGCACAGGATGAGGCTATCAGAAAGACTGCCTCTCTCCGTTTACATTAGCCCAACCCATCAGATCTTGCAGAGAAGGGACACTGCAGATACTATCAGCTAGGGATCTACACTTGGTGAGCCCCAGGAGATGTGCCTTCTCTACTGTGGCACTTGATTAATGAGTATTGTTCCCCTCCCCAGTTACATTGGCCCCACCCCTTTTGATGTTCTGAGAGGCCCTCAGGACTTGATCATGTGACTAGGCTTGGGGTTGCCACAAAACAGATTTGTCTAAGTGACTACTGTTAAGGAAGTCATTTTTTATTCTTTCTTTACTTACAGTTGTATTTTGGAGATTTAGAATATTTATTGCCCTGGTTTTTTTAAATATTTGTACTTGCTATTTTTACACTTCTTGCTTTATCCATTGTTGTGTATCACCCAGAGTCACCTTTGATGAGATGGGTGGCTGTATAAATTTGAGGAATAAATAAATAAACTTCACAATCCTGGCATTTTAAGCAGAAGTCTTACCATGATTGACAGCTCTTTTCTGAAGGCAATTTTTCTCCTGGTTTATAATAGTTTCCCTTATCATCAAAGCAGCCACACTTATCAAGGGAGACACAGTCCATCTCATCTTCATTAAAATAGGGTTTATCATCTGGACATTTTGGATAGCATCCTACAGTAAGAAAGATAACTTAATGTAAGCTTTTCACCGGACAAAATGAGCAAAGTAGGCAATAAAATAGAGATACGTGAGTGATTTTAACAAAATCTCATCTTCAAAGCTTCAGAAAGAAGAGCAAAGAGTTCCAAACATTTTTTTCAAAAGGCTTAAAAAATAAAGGTTATGCAGGCAGATCAGATAAGAGTGGGCTTTTTTCTTATTTCTTTTCGGAGAAATAACAGCTTCTTTTTCAGTTCAAACAAACTGTTTGGTTCAAACCAATTATCTGGTACTATCTTTCATTTGCTAGCATGTGCAAAACTGCATGCATCCATAACATTAAAGTTGAATAATTGAGAATTAAAAAATAAAAGTTATTGGAAAAATATATCCTTACTTCTTAAGCAAGTCTTGAATAGTTCCTATATAGTTATTAGAAGAATTGATGCAATTTTCAGTTTTTAATGATTGTTGCAAATCAAAGACAAGATGCATAAATACTGTACCTTCCAAGTCATATAATTCAAGTGAACAATTGTGTGGATTCCTACAGGTCTTCATGCAAGAAGAACCACAAGGTTGATAATGCCATTCACACTCTCCATGTTTATTGTAGTAATCACAGAATAAAGCTGAAAGGAAAAAAGCAGTTCAAGTGAAATGTGTTTGTTGTACAAGAGATATCCCTTTTAATATTCTTGATATGATGTCATTACATTTTCTTACTTGATAACATCATAAAATAAAGACTTATCTTGGAATAATTCCCTTTGAACCTAATACTATGAGAGGACATCTATTGTTTCATATGGGATTGTTTGGAAATTCCTTAAATCTCATGAGATATCAGAGTTCTCACTGAACTCATTGTCCCATGGACAGCAAACAGGACCTTAGACTGAAAGTTCTTTGAATCTAATAGTGGGGACAGGGAAAATTCAACTCCATCAGTGGTGGGTTTCAAAAATTGTTCGAACCTACTCTGTGGGTGTGGCCTCCTTTTCGGGAGTGGCTTGCCACCCATGTGACCGGATATGAAATTATGAATTAGTACCTAGGTCGGTCCAAGTAGCTATTCAGAAACTCTGGCATTGAAGCATGCAAGTCTTAAAGCTGTCAAGTTACAAGATCCTTGCACCCCTAACCCTTTAGGAAAAAAAAACCAGGGGTCTTCAAACCTGATAGCTATAAGACTTGTGGACTTCAACTCTCAGAATTCCTCCTCCAGTCACGTTGGCTCAGGAACTCTGGCATTGAAGCATGCAAGTCTTAAAGCTGTCAATTACAAGATCCTTGCACCCCTAACCCTTTAGCAGTGGTGGGTTTCAAAAATTTTTGGAACCTCTTCTGTAGGTGTGGCCTGCTTTCCGGGTCCACTGGTGGAACCTCTTCTAACCGGTCCGGTAGATTTGACGAACTGTTTCTACCAAATAGGTGCGAACTGGTAGGAACCCACCTCTGAACTCCATTATACACCGGAACAATTACAACTTGTTCAGGAATTATTATTCTGTTTCCAAATGTTCTTTTGCATTTTCTGTTCTCATGTCACCTTATTTATATGACGTAGGTATATCTTCCATAGAAATCTAGCAAGGCTTTGTTAATTTAAGGATACATCTGATCATAGCCATTCTAGCCACGTAGTGACACCATGGTTCAATAAATCTCAATCTGAAGTTAAAGTAATTTGAAATATTTAGGGACTCAGGGACTCCTTCCACAAAATCACAAATGCAAATATGAATGCATTGCCAGTGATCGTCATAGAGATATCTCATTTCCATTTTCTGAGTTGGGCTGAGCTTGCAGTAATGATGTGAAATACTACATGTAACCATCAGCCCTGAGAGGTAATACATTAAGCTCTTACAGCATTTGCATGCATTCAGAAGACTCCACCTAAGTCCAATGATGATGATTTTTTTAGTATTAAAAATCCCATTTGCTGTGGTCCTGAGAAATTAACAAATTGAAAATATTGTCTGCACCTTATTCCCACCTTCAACATTCCTGGGAAGGATACTCACGACAGATAGATGGAGTTCTCCAAGAGATGCATACACCAGCCTCCTGACATGCCTGTGCATATGCAGCTACGGCTGTACAGAAGCATTCACAGTCTCCTCCAGTGTCACAAGCACAGGCATCAGATACACATGCTTCATAATATTTAGTTGGTTCAACCTAGTAGGAAAATAATGAACATAATTCAGTGTGTTCATTAGTTCAGGTAGGTGAGTTTGATAAAGCATGGGGCATAATAAAGCATTCTTATATTTGCCATTCTTATATTTCCAACCAATCCTTCTGGAGAACTGACAGTATTGATCACTATTCCATTTGTTGCAGTAACAACTGCACGAACAAAGCAATTTGTTGTAGTTATGAAAGCAATAGTTTTGGGATGCAACTGGTAGATGTGATCTGTCATTAGCAATGGATCAGGATGCAATTTGCAATGAAACAAAAAGATATTCTCTAAATCTATTCAGGAACAATTCAGATCCAACAATCATTGGACATGTTGCTATCAAAGATACAAAGCCGAACCACAGTGGGATCTGCTTTTGATTTTCTCTTGTAGAAATAATTGACTTCATTATTGATTTAAATGGTTGCAGTGATCAAGGCAATGGACACATTGCAAAAATGGAGATAGTATTCTTAGTAGCCCACCAATAATATAAAGTATTGCTACTTAGTCATAAAAGGATTAAAGGTTAGGTTATGAATATGTATATATGTATGTATGTATGTATGTATGTATGTGTATATGTGTATATGTGTATATGTGTATATGTGTATATGTGTATATGTGTATATGTGTATGTATATGTATATGTATATGTATATGTATATGTATA